TGATTTTAAAAGATCTCAGTTTACCATACTGTCTATCGAGTACTTTTTGAGAATTCTCATCTGCCGTTACTTGTGAGTAACCTCAGAATAGAATTATATTTACCACGTCCACTAGTGTGGCCTAGTGACTGCGACCCTCTCTTCTTACAGGAAGACAAAGAGGCCATGTTCGAGTGCTACGACACTATGCATGCAGTGCTCCAGGTGACCACTGGTGTGATGTCCACTCTGAAGGTGAGGATGGTTATTATTGTGTACCGCTTGTGCCCAACAACAGTCAACTCAATTATTTCAGTTACTCAGCAGGTCAAGCAAAAACTTGCTTCAGTCAAGCTACACAGTAATTGTACTTTCCTTAATCTAACATAAGGAGAGTGGAAATGACATTCTAAGTGTGCTTTATTTCAATACTAGAAGTCCACTTAGTCTATTTCTAAAACTAGTAATCTTTTTGTCTATTGTGTTTGTACTGGCAGTGAGGCCTGACTAAGAAGACATATTCGCTATAATGATAGTCTTAATAGCAGTACTGGGCATCACTGGAGAGGAGCCCATGGTGCAGATCTGTTTTTTCAGGTTTTTTAGACAGAAGAGGAGTAGTTCAGTCCTCAAGGGCAAAGGGAATGTCATCAGGACTTTTGTTCTTTCAACTAGTCCTTAAATGTCTACAGTTACAGTTTTTTTAAACCTTACAAGGACATTAACAGGGCCAGATCTGACCAACAGCACTCTTTAACTAGATTAATTAAATAACTTTATGGAACAATAATATGTCAGCTGTTGAATATTTAAACTCTAATTCTTGTAGATCACAATACACATGAAACTTTTAAAGTGTTTACTCACCCCCAAAAAAATGATGATTTGCTCCTGTGAGCTTCTGAGAATAAAACCCAAACCAGGGAGGGTCTAATATTTGTGTTTCTGTCACTGATTGTTTCTTCCCAGACTCTTGGAGGTTTGGAGATTTAAAAGGTTATATAACTGTAGCTGATCTTGTGAGCTTTGCACTCCTCTTCCCTGAACAGATCAACCGCAGCGCAATGGAGGCAGCACTGAGCCCAGACATGCTGGCTACTGACCTGGCTTACTATCTCGTCAGGAAAGGAGTGAGTTATTCGACACAAAGCACTCATTGGGAGAGCCTAGAGCATCTTAGACAGAGTTTACTGAGAGCAGTGAACTTCCCCTGAAGTGTTCTGGTGTCCCTGCTACAAGGCTAGAAGACTTTTAATAATAATTAATAATAATAATAATTGCTTACACTTATATAGCGCTTTTCTGGA